TTACATGTCTCCCCCTCTGCCTGATCCACGCAGGACAGGAGTCTGTTACAGCCCCAGCTGGAAAGCCTTGGCTCTTTAGCTCAAACCACAGCAGCCCATGCTTTAGCTCTGCAAGTCCCCAGTTCAATTCCTAGATGATGGCCCCCTCATTGGTTCTGGGACCACAGGGCCAAGATATGCATGTGTATCCCCTGCATTCTTTGCAAGCAAGGCTTTTGTAGAGCCGGGGATGAATGTAGTCTCCAGATTCAATGGGTGCACTGTGCTAGGAAAGGGAGGGGGGCTGTATGAGGGTTGGAGAGGACCCAGCCCTGTGGGGTTAATACCCTCCCTGCCGGAAATGGGGGAGACTCAGCCCTGGATGCAACTGCGGGCCAATCCTAGTCCCGCCTCCCCCTGACCTCCAGCCTTGTTGCTGGTTGGAGCAGTATCCTCAACCCCACTCCTCCCTCTGGGCTCTTGGCCTGACAGGTCGCCTCACGTCTGGCACAATGGGAGGATTCTGGGCCTTGCTGGGACAGGCAAGTTACTCTCTCTGTACTATCGATAGCGGGTGCCAAGCCTGAGTGGCATTGAGACTATTTGCTAGGTTGTAACCTGACCCACTGCAGGGCAAAACCTGAGTGGCATCGCGTGTTCTGTGGGTGCAATTCAACCCCCGCTAAAGCTTCCTCTGTGTAGAGCTCTTCTTGTGATCCACCGCTCCACCCTGAATATGCATAGGAGTGGTGAAAAGCAAAATAGTCCGTAAATTGCACCCAGGAAAGTCTAACAAGCTTAGAGCAAGAGGAAGACTATAGGAACCCCGTTCGTCAGTCTAATGATTGCTTAGCCATGCAGCATGGAGATCATTCAGTCTCCAAGCAACTGAGCACAGTTTGCCATGACCCAAAAATCCACCCCTGCTTGAAGTCAATAGCATTCCACAGGACGCAAGGGAGGCAAAAGCCAGACCAACAGCTCTGCAACGTTTGCAAGGAACCGATTAAGCACGGAGTGGGCAACATAAATTATCATCTTTGGATATTTCTTTCCACCATAGGAGGCTAGTCACATTATGTGTGTCTAAAACTCTCAGTGCCTACGCCTGATTACAAAATGCAAGTACAACTGTAGGTTTAATTATTCAGCCAGAATGAATTATGACAGACTAAAGAACAGAGCACATCCTGCAGTGGGCTCGTGTTAAATAAGAACAGGTGATCCATATCAGCTAGCATATAATTTCCCACATAGCCCTTCTGTCTTTGCCACTGTCGTTCTAACTTTCCCATCTAGAGGCGTGAACGCTATACAGCCACATGCACTCAAACTGTCATGCAACATAACCCCTGTTTGCTTTGAAATTGATATTATTCCTCTGTGGTCATGCTTGCAATGAAAGAGGTTTGTAACGGATTCACCTTCTGCAATACCTGGCCATCCTGTTTTTCTGGTTAGTGGACACAACTCAGGGGATGCAGTCTGAGGGGTTATTATAAATCTGCTGCTCACATGAGTTCACTACCATTATCCCCATTTATGGGGGGGGGGGGGAAGAGAGAGACTGAGGCAGAGGTCAGGAAATGACTAGAGCCCTGCAAACGTGCAGCTATCCGCTTTATAGCCACAGACCATGTTTGGGGATCACGGATCAGATGCAGATATAAATTTTGTAGCCAAGAGGGCTCTAGAAATGACTCTCCCAAGGGCACCCAGCATGTAACAGAGGTCTCCTAACTGCCCCCAGGACACGCTGCCTCCATGTAGCCGGCCCCTGCCCCTTTGTGAGTTTGTTTACTAGGACTGGTTGACAGGTTTTTTTGCTGGAATTTTTTGAGGATGAAATATGTTCTTTTTGGACTAAACAGAAGTTTTTCTTAAGGAGGTTTCTGGGGTTTTGTCAATTTTTTACCGAAAAACTCCAAAATAAGCTCTCTCTAGTTGTCATTAAAAGGAAAAATTGTGCAAATTTTTTTAAAAACCACGAACAAAACTTTTTCCCCATGGGAAATAAAATACAAACCCTGACCAGCTCTAGTATTTATAGTGGTGTTAACCTGGAGTGGTGATGTATTGATGTCAAGGGAGTTAAATTGGTGCAAGGTGAGAAGCAGAAACATGGAGTAGGAATGGTCCAATTTTGAGGGCATTTTATCTAATATATTTTTCCCCTCACACCTTTTCAGAGAGGAAAAACTACTTAATTCATGTTAGGAACCCAGGCCCCGATCTTCAAAGGCATTTAGGCACCTAACTCCCACTGAAATCATTTTAATGAGAGTTAGGCACCTTAATACTTTTGAGGCTCTGGGCCCAAGTGCTTACAGTATCCCCACTTAAGCAGCAGCACAGTGCTAGGAGGCTGTTCGTGTCTCCATGTGTTTCAGTGAATGTTATGACCCTGGTCTTGCCAAGGAATCTGTGTGGGCCTAGCCCTTTGCAGACATGAGGCCTGGGGGGTGTGGGAGTACACTGCTCACACAGTTTTTCTTTTAATTCAAAATTGCTCATGTGAATTGAGTACTTTAAAAGTTGCCCGATCAGAGTGTGGTGCACTCTACCCCCAGGGCAGGGACACGGCAGCACAAGCAGTGACGGTGCAAGCTTCTATTACGCCGTCTTAGCAACATGCCTAAACCTGGACCTAGACTGGCCACTTCTAATATTGAGATAGCAGCTCATCTCATTATAACAGACCTGAGCTGCATCTGAAGTGATGAACAAAACCCATTACCTTCACTCTGAGCAACTCAGTGCCCTTAAAAAACAAACAAACAAACCAAAGAAAAAAGAAAACAACCCACCAACCACCTCACAACTCATGGCTTATTAGTAAGGTTTAAGATTTTGTCAGGGTTATTTTTAGTAAAAGTCAGGGACAGGTCATGGGCAATAAACAAAAATTCATGGAAGCCTGTGACCTATCCCTGACTTTTACTAAAATAACTGACAAAATGGGACTGAGGGGGAGATGAGAGTCCAAGCCCCACTGTAGGAGGGGAAAGGAGGGGGCAGCCTTCACTGTGACTGACAGCTCTGGGTTTCCACTGCTGTGTCTCAGAGCTCCGGGTCCTCCCGCCGACCCTGTCGACTGAGAGCTGTGGGGGCCCCTGCCAGCTGGCAGCTCCAGCCCTGCTTGCCCAGGGCTGAAGCGGAAAATTGTCACGGAGGTCTTGCAGTCACGGAATCTGTGACAATCTTATCCTTACTTATTAGGCCTTGTCTACATTGGTGCCAATGTATAGGGTATGTGTAGCTACATGGCACAGTGTAAAGCAGGCTGCGTCCACACTGGTGTGTAGCTACATGTGGCAGTGAAAGGCTCCGTCAGGCAGGAGGCAACGGGGAAAGGCTCCCACTGCCTCCCCTCTACCAGAGACTTTCCCCACTGCTGGAGCCTTTTCCTGTAGCAGAGAAAGGTTCCAGCAGCGACGAGGCACTGGGACACTACACTGCTAAAAACAGCAGTGGAGACAGGGAGGCACTGCTTGGGCATGTAGAGAGCTGGGTAGGGTACCTACCCTAAGGTTGTGGAATATCGTTCCTCACCTAACCAGTGCCCCACCGTCTACACTGCTATTTATACCACTGAAAGGGTGTGTGCTGTGTATGTACTGTACACATTGCCATAAATGTAGACACAGCCTTAGACATGTGACTACTACTGGGAATCACTTTCATTTAGAAATAATTTGATTAACGTCGTTTGTGCTGTGTCCTTCTTCCCCATTTTTACTACTCTTGTACTTCATTAGGAGTTGATCTGTTCCGGCTTATTTCCCACCTTACAATCTTCTGTGCTATTAGTTGTTTGCTGAAGAAATGATTAGGACATTTCAAAAATCAGTGGACTATAATTTCATGTATACAATGAACAGTAGCACCAGATGTGACTCAAGATTCAGAGATCTTCCGGGAAGTATTCCCAGAAGTTTGGATTAAAATAAAAATCAAATAAATTCCCCTAGAAACATTACATAAAAAAAACAGATTATTTCTAGACAGGATGGTAGATGCTGAACTCTATGTAGAAGGGACCTCATGTGATTGGAAGTTAATATAGGTTTGATTTTAAAACTACCGGGTAAATTACAGTAGAAAGGGATTCCAGCAGGGATGCAACAGAGTCAACTCTAGTCTTTCTACACTTTAGAGTCATCGTGGACTGTGGACTGGGTAACTTGCAGATTAATTGATACCGAGCCATTCACTTCTCTATGACAACAGCAGGGAAGGTATAAATACCAAGGGTGAAATTTGGATCCCATTGAAGTCAATGGCAAAACTCCTTTTAACATCAAAAGGGCCAAGATTTCACTCTTGGGCTACCAAGCCACAACAGCTCAGCCACTGAGAAACCTATGTGACAGAAGAGAGATAATTTTGGGCCAGATTCTCAGCTGGAATATACTGCGCTAGCTCCACTGAAGTCAGTTAGCTCTTCCTACTCCACAGTCTAAAATATGGGGGTCCAAGAGAAATATTTCCTCATGTTTTCAGAAATAAACATTTTTCATGAAAAAGCAATGAAGAAAAATGAGGTCTGCAACCTAGGAGGAAGGAAAACACCAGCTGAGATAGCATTATACTATTCAGCCTGGCAAAACAGCCTTGGACAATTACCAGCCAAGGAACAAAATCTACTAGCATGACGCAGGAGAATACAATCTGATTAGGAGTTTGCATTAGTTTTACTTACCTGTCCAAAAAGTTTACTCACCTCATGGCAAGGAGAATTGTGCAAAGATGTGCTATGAAACAGCCTGGCCCCAAATCAAGAAATAGACAATAACGACAAATGGACACACGGGGACAAATGCAAATAGGCAAGTTGGTGGAGCCCCATCATGGGCACATCCTTTATGTTTCGTACAAGTATCTACAGCTTTCAGATACCAAAGCGTGAAAGCCAGAAACCCTGGGTAACATTTTTATAGCTTGTCATGCCAAATAAGGCATAACTGAATAGAACTGAGTTCAGCCTGGGCTGGTGACAAGTGAACATTGTTACTCTTACAGGTGCTTGGCAGCCCACACTGAATGAACTGGTGGTCTCAGTCCGGTAGACGACTGTCCATTCTATTAAAAAAAAAAACCCACCACAATTAGCAGTCAGAGAGGCCAAGGACTGAATGGATATTTCATTCCTCCCTCAATCTGAAAGATGGTCTCTCAGGACTAAGGTCAACACTTCTGAAGGCAGCTTGAATACCTGCACCTGCTCTGAGGGTCCGACATCTTTCATCTCCACGCTGTCAATGGCTCACTAAAGTCATGAAGGGACAAATCCCACTTGAGTCAACAGCAAAACTCCGAAACGATGTCAAAGGCAGCAGGAACTAACCGAAAGTGGGAGGGAGGAAAAAAAGAGTAAGGAAATGGAGCCAATTCTCCTGAACTGAGAACTTGGATGGGGAGAACAAACCAATTAGCCATCTCCATATTGTGCAGTTACTGGTTTTGTAGGGAAAGGCAAGGGAGATTCCAGGAGCTACTTGGAATACAAGCACTGTTTTACATACACTTGGAAAGAGGAATGCAGCACCTAATGTCTGTTCCTCTAAATAAATCAGTACGGATTTGTCTTAAAAAAACCCCAAGCCCGTTCCTTCCATTTGTAAATTACTTTAATTTAAATATTTTGAGGTTAACAAAATACCTTTTGAATCAGACATGCCCCCAAAATACAAAACAGAAACAGAACCTCCTCACAGAGGGTAACCCCCCGCCCCTTCTTTTCGACACTGGAGTTTATGGACGTGAGCTGGCTGCCCTCCAGGGTCTGACACAAGGTCTGGAGTGCGGAGAGCAGCTGGAATTCATTTTCTTCCTTCAAATCGATGCACTCTACTATGAAGCTGCGTTTTGGCATCTCCGTCTAAGAGAGAGTTCAGTGCAAAAGGAACTAACCCCAGCCAGGTTTCTTTCCAACCCAGTGCTCACTGAGCAAAAAAAAAAAAAAAAAAAAGTCCTTCCCCTGCCCCGACACATACACACTCGACTGACTGTACCAAACAAAGGGTCATTCACGGCTGCTAGAAATGGGTCACATGGAGAAATGTTTGCAGATAAAACCAACACTTTAAACCCCCCCCACACTTTTTAAAATAAACACCAAGGAGCTGGGGATTGTTGACCTTTGAGAGTTCTGGTCCTGGATATTCCCTCCTCCTCGCCACGCTTGCAATCCACTCTGCACCGCATGCAAACCAGGCCAAGCTCTAGCAGTTTGGCCGCCGCTCAAGTATGTCAGCGAGTCCAACCCCCCCGGCAAGTTCCTCGGTGTAAGGTCCACTGTGAGAAGCGTTACGGTGCAGTTAGGTGGTACAGTGTCTCGCTAGTGCTTTTTTAGTTCACATTAGGTCAGGCGGGGGTGCCAAGAGCCCCCGGGTCACAAAATCACACACTGCAGTTTGTGGGAGCCGGTCGCTCTGTCTCCTCGCCATTTGGTCTTCTTCTTCTTCTTCTGGCTTTTCTCTGGGATCTGTTGCCTGTTTGGAGAAAAGAAAGAAGCAAACCCTAGTGAACCATCCCTACTGTTTAGGCTATGGGTAGATAGACGAGTATCTCTAGAGCGGTAGGAATCAGTCAGAAGAGACCCCTGGGGTGAAATGCTATCCCCACTCACTGACCCCTACGACAGGTGAACCTCTCCTCTTCCCTCCTGCACAAGGAGACACGGGGCCAAAATAAAGAAAGAACAAAGGGACGTGACTCTGTCGGTGAGAATTTAAATAGCTGCGCTGTTAAAAGAGCCAGCACCCTGGCACAAACAAACTGTTTTTCCTGGGCTCAGACCAGCAGGCGCTGCATTTATCCAGGGCTCTCTCACCATGTTTCTGGCCAGTTTCTTAGATTGCTAGTTCTTTGCATCAGGGACAGTGTCCTCCTGGGTGCATGAGCAGCACCGAACCCAGGGTAGGCCCTACTGGTATTCAAGAATAGTAATAATTCACCAGATCACTGCCAGCTGCCCCATTAGCGTCAAGGAGCTGAAGTTAATGAAGTTACGAGTGAAGAACAGCCATCCATCTGGGATGGGGGAAGGGAAGCCTCTGCAGCAGCAGCTGCTAGGAAGAAGGAAGGGAAGTATTGTGGCTACAGCAAAGGTTACAAAAGGGGGTTAGGGTAATGTTGCCATGGCAGTGGATTGCACAGCCACATTTCAGAGGAGATTTGCTGTTCTGACTCCTTCTGCTAGAGGGAGTGTGACCGCTACTCACCCTGCCCCCACCAGCTGATCTACCATAGTGAGTAGCTAGCCAGTCTTCAAGGGGTAGGGGAGAGGAGCATGCATAACATATTAATGCTAATGGGAGTTATAATGGCTGAAGTGAGAAGGCAATATACTGGGTCCTGGTTAAAACACAACCCTTCCCTCTGCCCCTAATGGAGGCTGGGCCCCCATCATCTGGTAAATATGGTTACCCTAGTGTTCTAACATGCTGCATTCTAGCTTAGTTTCCCCAGTGGCTGAGTGAGTTCTGAGCAAGGAACTACAGAGAAACAGAAATCAGGGGGGAACTAAAGCCTGTTAAAGATTTACATCTGGCTGGAATTTCCCTCTGGTCAAATGAATTGATTTAGAATCAATTAGCATTGGTTTTTTTTGTAAAACCTGCTGTTCAAATGGGTTCTGCCCTGATAAATAAATCATTTTCCAATTTAAAGTGCTGAGTGGTTCAGAAGGAGAAAGTGCTCTGGGTCATCACCAGACACCAGCCCTTAGGAGGACACTCCAGGCAGCATGAAATCAAAGCAATCAGAAATGCACAGCTGGGATTCCCTCGCTACTGTATGCCACTGCAGCCCTCAATCACTTCATTCAGCAACTTCTGTGGGTGTTGGATGAGCAATATCTTTAATGCTACTACAATTCCATTCGATTTACACTTCTGTGTCACTGAGGGCCTCCCAAATTATCTAGGTTACACACTATCCAGAGTCACGTCATTTAGAAAAGGGGACTGGCTGCTAAACAGGTCCTCAGCTGGTATAAATGGACATAGCTCTGTCAACCACTAGATCGTTTTTCCTTAACACTAATGGGAGTTAGCTCCAATGCATTGGAGCTACCAGTTTACACCAGCTGAAGATCTGGCCCAGAGTTGCAGAATAAACAGGAGAAAGGAAGGCTGCGTAGTTAAATGCAGGACTAGGAGTCAGTGGGTTTGATTGAACAGACTGGCTGTGTGTCCTTGGCAACTCACAAAGGTCTGAACCATAGTCTCAGGAATAAATCAAATCTGTGTGTTGGGGATCTCCCTTAACCATCTCCTCAGCTTGTTACGTGCTGAGCGCTGAACGGAAAGGACAAGCTAGCCACACCAGATATGGGACGCAGCCAGTGTTGCCAACTCTTGTGATTTGATCGCGAGCCTTGAGATATTTGGTGTGTTTTTTTCCTCAAAGCCCTAGCTCCTGGAGTCCTGTTACTTATGTGAGAATCTTAGCTTTGATTTGTTTTTAAAAATGCTACTAGCTCTTATGGTTGCAGAGAAAAGCATAAAAAATGAGATCCTGAAAGGCTCAAAGGCTAGAAAGCAAAAAACTCCCTCAAAAAACCCCAAACACACACAAAAAAAGTAAGCTGATCTTATGATGTGTGGAGCCTGATTCATGATTTTGGAATGCTTGGGGTTGCCAGTACTGCATAGCTAAAGATAAGTGATTGGTCCTTGACTTCTTCCCCTGACCCCCAACCACAGTCTATTGAGATAAAAATTTTGAAAGACATGTTTAGTGAGTTCTTTCCAGACAGTTAACTCTACAGAGAGCTGACCAGACCCAAATCTATTGTTTAGAAGTATTATTAGGAAGCAAGGTAACATTAGCAGCATTATACAAAGTTGATTTCTGGAAGATGATCCCAGAGACAGAGAATTACCCCCTGCCCTGTGTTACAGTGGAAGAATGTTCCACGGCGAATTTACAGCAGAACAGAGGGCAAATCAGGAAGATCCTGATAGATCTACCTACGAGTTAGATGTTGGTACCACCAACTATATGGACTACCACAGGCTTCTTCCAGCCAATCCCAGCACTTGTAAGAAAAATTGGGACTCAACCAAATGCAGCTCTACTCAGAAGGAGCACAACCGTTGGCTGACAGTTGCCATGGTATCCATCAGAGTATGACTCATGCCCCAGGTCCTGTCAAGAGCTAGCCCCTTATGTTCGTGAAGCAATTTGGAGATAGATGCAGAGCATTAGGAAGTTTTAAATGACATTTTCCTGACTACAGCTGAGCTAACAATTTGTGACAAAAAATTTAACAGATGATTTTATCCTATTTCTGATTGTGGCTAATCCTTGATAGTCTTTCAACAGTCTTCTCAAAACAGTTCAGCAAAATGTAGTTCGTTTCGATTGGCCAGCTAAGTCATGTAGCATCATTTCTGTTCTTTAATTGAATGAATGCACAATTTTTTTTTTTTTTTTTTTTTTTTTTTTAATACTGAAGGCAACAAGGCTGAACAGGTATCTAATTTGGCTGGTGGAACCTTTATAACAACTACTGATGCACACGAAGGAAAGAACCCAGACATGACTGTAAGGCCCTGGGGTCCATTTGGAGGGCTGGCACATACAGAATATACATTTTTAAATTTAGCTTGTTAACTGAGAACATTTGACCTGGAGTCACTGAGAAACTATATATAGGGAGACCCACCATACCAATTATTTTGTAGTGATTTTTCAGAATAGCATTGGATAGTGATAAGAGCTCAATGTAATAAATACTAATGCCTAGCCTACTAATTACAAGGTACAGAATAGTTCAGAAACATCCAGGGACATTGCCAACTTATATCTGTAACTCTCCAATAATTATCCGCCCACACCCTCCTTCTGCCAGCTTGACAGGATTTTGGAAGAGTGGGTAGTACCATCTGCTTTCGACGGATGCTGACTCGAAGCTGTGGTAAGATAAACACTAACAGAGAGGCACCTGTGCATAAATGCCTAACAAGTTTCATTGCTGGGGAAGCCAATTCTTCCAACTCATATGGAAAAACTATAGCTTCACCTGATAGCATTAGTTATTAACCTAACAGCTTTCTTTGACAGGGTAACAAGCCTTGTGGTTGGGGGGGGGAGAAGAGGTAGATGTGGTATAACTTGACTTTAGTAAGGCTTTTGACCTTCTGTCTCGCATGACCTTCTCATAAACAAACTATGGAAATACAACCTAGATGGAGCTACTACAACGTGGGTGCATAACTCATTGGAAAACTGTTACCAGTGAGTAGCTATCAATGGTTCACAATCAACCTGGAAGGGCATATTAAGTGGGGTCCCACAGGGATTAGTTCTGGGCCCAGTTCTGTTCAATATCTTCATCAATGATTTAGATGATGGCCTAGAGTGTACACTTATAAAGTTTTCAGACAATACCAAGCTGGGAGGGGTTGCAAGTGCTTTGGAGGATAGGATTAAAATGCAAAATCACCTGGAAAAACTGGTGAAATGGTCTGAAGTAAATAGGATGAAATTCAATAAGGACAAACGCAAAGTACTCCACTTAGGAAGGAACAATCAGTTGTACACATACAAACTGGGAAATGACTGCCTAGAAAGGAGTACTGCGGAAAGGGATCTGGGGGTCATAGTGGATCACAAGCTAAATATGAGTCAACATGTAACACTGTTGCAAAAAAAGCGAACATCATTCTGGGATGCATTAGCAGGAGTATTGTAAGCAAGACACGAGAAGGAATTTTTCTGCTCTACTCTGCACTGATTAGGCCTCAGCTGGAGTATTCTGTCCAGTTTTGGGCGTCACATTTCAGGAAGGATGTGGACAAATTGGAGAAGGTCCAGAGAAGAGCAACAAACATGATTAAAGGTCTGGAAAATATGACTTATGAGGGAAAACTGAAAAAACTGGGTTTATTTAATCTGGAGAAGAGTAGACTGAGAGGGGACATGATAACAGTTTTCAAGTACATAAAAAGTTGTTACAAGGAGGAAGGGGAAGAATTGTTCTTCTTAACCTCTGAGGATAGGACAAGAAGCAATGGATTGAGGTTGGACAAACACCTGTTAGGAAAATGTCTACACAATACCAGGGCCAGCTCCAGGGTTTTTGCCGCCCCAAGCAGCAAAAAGAAAAAAAAAAAGTCGCGATCTGCTCTACCGCCGCCGCTTCAGTCTTCGGCAGCAATTTGGCGGCTGGTCCTTCGCTCTGAGAGGGAGCGAGGGACCCGCTGCCGAATTGCCGCGGACGTGCTTGCTGGGCTGGTGCCTGGAGCCAGCCCTGCACAATACTTAGTTCTGCCTTGAGTGCAGGGGAGTGAACTAGATGACCTCTCAAGGTCCCTTCCAGTCCTATGATTATAGAAGAAATCTGTTTGCAGAACTACAGGTCACTGAAGTGGAAAAAAAACACATTCAAACCTAAGGCCTTTAAAGATTCTGCAGGTGGCACAATTGGGATCATAAAAAGAAGACAGAGACCAAATATTTTACAAAAGTTATCAGTGTTGGAGGTGGAAAACATGCACAGGTCCATATTCCAGATTGAGCAACTGGAGAACAGGGATTAAATCCTGGGCAAAATTCCATTAATGTCAGCAGGGCCAGGATTTCACCCAGAGAGTGAAACGAATTTGCCAAAGGCCACGGACGAAGTTTGTGGCAAGACTGGAAACAAAGCCCTGCTCTCCAAGATGGAAGACCCATGGCTTATCCAGTAGACCACATTGTTTCTTATACAAATTGGCTTACGTTTCACTACTTAGTGGGTGGAAAAAGTGAAATGTCACCTTCAGTACAGAAAATAGCCAATTCCTTCAAGTTTTGGCCACAAGAAAACAACCAGACATTGTAATCAAAATGACAGTGTAATGGAAATCCAAACAATGCCATCCTCATTCACAGACTTACACTGATTCAGGAAGTCAGCAAACAAAAGCAAGGTGGAAATAGCTTTGAGACTCTTCTGTACAGTACAATAGTTTAACTGCCTCTACAGTAATTTTGCTCAGCAAATGCCAGATGCTGTTATCTGTATTGTGTTTTGGACTACAAGTGAAACGGGGGCCACTCATGACAGTTCCAGGTCCCCCTGCACTCATCTCAGAGTAGGTGCATTCTTACCAAAACCCTAGTGTTTTTGTCCTTTTGTGATTAAATTCTGCCTAATGAAAATTCTTCCTGGAGTTTCGGTTGGGTTACTCACTTCCCCTACTTAAAAAGCTGCTGTGTGATACGCATGTGTGCTGCCAAACAGAAACAAACACCCCAAAGCCCCCGCTCCTTGCCACAACAAAAGGTGGCTGCATTTCAGTGATGGAGATTTTTATATACACACACTAATCCTGTATTTTTATATTACAGCCCTCATGAGGTCAACTGAAACCAATGATATACACGAATGTGTGTGTCAGATTCCAGTGGATTAGGTCATATACACGACTAAATGCTGCTTGCAGACCAGTCAGTCCGTAACTCTGGTGTTCGTATCTTTGAGGTTCTACTGTAATATTATTCAGTCCACTGTCTACTTTGGAGTACTGCCCTAAAAGCAATGCTATGTATTAAATACAATGGGGCCCTGGTTATCTAATCCAACTGGGACTGGGGCCAGATCAGATAACCAAAAATCCAGATAAACTGGAGAATGGGTGGCAGGGCTCTGGCTGTCCGCCCTGGAGGCTGGGGTTCCTGCTGTTAATTTCGGTTAAGTGAGGTTCTACTTTATATTACTTCCAACACAGAGAAAGTTTTAATTTTGAAGTCACATCTGAAACGGGGTGAAAAATGTAGTGGAGTTATGGAAATCAAAAGATTCCAAGTCTTAAAACAAGAAGGACACCTGGGAGAACCATGAGCAAATTTCCAAAGACAGGTGCGAGCCACACTCAAAAGATTACTGGCATCAAAAACAGAGGTCAGAGTTAAGGATGTCTGGATGTGACCCAAGATGTATGTGGAAGATTGGGTAGGGGAAACGGACAGTATGTCTGCGGGAGAAGGTTATACATGTAGATATACTGTTTGACATTTTATTTTCTGATTTTTATGGATTTGAGTTTTGCTCGGGTGTTCCATCTGATTTTCAGGAATACAATATTACGCCAGATAGAGTGTAAATTGGTATAACCCCTGGACTTCACTGGAGTTATGCTGATTTACATTAGCGGAGGATCTGGCCCACAGTTTTTGTATGCCAATACTGCATGTTGTTATTGATCACTAACGTAGTGTCTGGATGAATTGTAGGTGAATCCACTATATTTTAAATTTTTTATATGCAGTTAGATCTCAAAATGTTTAGCACTGACAATGAAGATTTTATACCTTAAAAGATAACTACATTTTGATAGTTGCGTGTGGGTATGGAACAAGCAACCCTAATAAAGAATAAAAGATCAGGTTCTTGGTTCCATGTGTTATAAGGATTCATGAGCCTCCTGCCAATGGAGGTTAATAGATGGCTGAGTAAAGTGTTTTATAGCTCACCTGATTACTCTAACAAGATCATGGAAGGCTTTATCAACATTCAGAGGTGGGTCCTTCGCACTAGTTTCTATGTACGGGATCTGAAAGACAAAAGCCCAGCATAATAAATACTAGTAACATCTTACATGTGGACAATGAACCTATCTCAAGTGACAACCCAAGGGACTAGAAGCAAAACAGAGGGTTATCCTATAATGACTAAGGCAGAAGGACTGTTTCTTTGGGGACAATTTCAGGTAGTCTCTTAGATCAACAGACTGTTTAATAAGGGTGTTCTCAACCATGGAATTCCATGCCCCATTGAAGTCAATGGGAGTTTTGCCACTGGTTTTAATGGAGCCAAGATTTCACCTTACATATAGAGATCACTTCACTCACCATTGAAATGAGCAAAGGGTGGAATGTAGCCTCTGCGTAACAACGTACAGCTGTGCTACACTGGAGTTTGGGGCACAAAGTGAAGGTTATACTGCCAGGAGAAAGGCAAGTAAGTGAAATGTTGCCATGACATCAAGGTTAATTCACAGAAAGGACACAAAGACACTACCAAAGATCACCCCATCCTATAAAATGTGCAACATACAAAACAGTTGGAAGCATAAAGTTCCAGATTGGGGGGGGGGGGGAAGAGAGTAATTGCAGAGTTTATTAGGAGAGATGTTCTTTTCCCCTGAGAAGTACTTGAGGACATGAAGACCACACAAACAAAGAAACTATTTACCATGCCTGCCAGAAGTTTGTTGGAGATAGTTTTTTAGCAAACACCTGCCAAAGATCCCTTCCTTGCTACACTGCATTTTAAGGTCCTTGAATGGTGATTTCTACAGTTACCTTTCAGACTTAGAAAAGCTTCTGTTCAGGTGACAGAGAAGGTCATTTTCTATTGGCAGCCAAATGGACTTTTGTGGTCACTTGTAGCATACAGACCTAGCAAAGAGCCATATTTGTAACCCTGGCTTCTGATATTGCATTTGAAAATTCTGCATTTGCACATACAGCACCTTCCACACCACTGAAACTGAGCACAACACAGGAGCCGTGTGTTGTTCTTGTTTAGGTTGACTGGCTCTCTGCTCTTCCACAAAAGCTTCTTTACAGGGGTGGGAATAAATATACCCTGAATAATTCACATTATGTTATCCATTGGGATGCGACAAGTTCCATTAAGTCTTTTCCATGACTGTGGGCATTTAGAAGGGATTAACCTAGTATAATGGTGATTATAATCTTACTTGGGAGCCATTTCTGGAGCCAAACTGCAGTATGGATAACAGGGAACTGAGATATTGGGTCTGATTTATATGGGTTTTACACTCATGTAATTTCATCATCATTAATGGATTTACTCCTGATTGACAACCGTCCGAGATCAGAATAAGGCCCTGTGTATCTCTAACTACCTTTTCTGCATTTTCATTTGAAGAGTGCATTTTGTCCATCTTACAGGCACATTCCACCCACCTGCAAATAACTTGCATTACATGACTTTATGATCATGTGTGCAGTGTAGCTGTAGCCATGCGGGTCCCAAGATATTAGAGAGGTCAGGTGGGTGGTGAGGGAATATCTTTTATTGTACCAACTTCTGCCGGTGAGAGAGACCAGCTTTCGAGAAGCTGGGGGGAGGGGGCGGTTCCTTTTCCAGACCTGAAGAGCTTGTCTCTCACCAACAGTAATTGGTCCAATAAAGATATTACCTCACCCACCTTATCTCTCTAATGACTTTCTTATCATCATAGCTCTGCTATAGTATGGTGTACAGAACTGGCCCCACTGGAAGTAACCTCTCTCTCTCTCTCCTACTTTCTTTGCCTTTTATTTGAAAATGGAATTGCAAGTGTTTAATTATAAGCGAAGTGATCGAATTAAACTCCAAATGCGGAATGAATCCCATTCTGAATGCCTGGAATGGAACTTAAAAGCAGTGCAACTGCCAAAACAACATGCAAACAAAGAAACACCCACAAACTTACGTTATGTTTAGTGGCCATTTCTCTTCCTTGTTCCCGAGTGATTTTCCGCAAATGCATTAGATCAACTTTGTTGGCCACCAATATCATTGGAAAAGACTCTCTGCAAGAAAGCAATATGGAGGAGCCTTTCAGTGTAAGCTTCCTTTTCAAAGACTACCACCATCTAGCATTTTCAGCTAGAAAGATGCAGCATGTAGGCATTTAGCAGATGAGTTATAATTAGGCTCGGAAGGATTAGATTTTTAATCGGTAAATATTGGTAAACAGATTTCACTGTACACACACAAACTGATGAAAAACACTTTCTTTATCTGAATATTTTGATTATTATCAATGAAAAATGCTGCCTGAGAATTTATTAGAGCCAAAATCCAGGGATTTAGACTTTTGGATTACACATGTAACAAATGGACTAGTGGATGAATAGTGAAAACAGATATGATTTGTTGATTTAAGAATTTTTACTTTGTACATTTTGATATGTGATATTGACAATGTGTGTTAACCGTGTAGAAAGTTTTAACTTTTGAATCTCAATGTCTACAGTCATAAAATAATTATCAGTCCCCCTCCCCCTAATTTCCCGCAACTGTTAAAACTGAAAATCAATTAAAAATGGGAAAAAATGCTTAAAGCCCAAAACTTCATGGAATTGTGAAAACTGATAAAAAATTTTTAAAAAAAGCTTAAAAATAAACATCAATATTATCTTTTGAAATTATAAAAAATAAAAATCAAATTCTGCCAAGCCTAGTTATAATTACAAGCAGGATCAAGCAATCATACATCATCACAAAAGCAGGACTCATATCTATTTATACATTACCTAGGCAAGATATTTTCCTTGGTAGTTAGCACATTACAAGTTGTACACAAATAGCTGATGTGCCTGTAAGTAATCAAAGCTGCTGTTTTCTTATAGTTTAAGAACAAGCTCCACCATGATCCAAGATTCCTATCAGTTACACAACTTCAGTACTTAACTAATATTGGTCCATACGCATGGAAGAAAATTAGTGTAGGCATCCAAAGACATTGTAATCAAGAGAAAATGGGCAGATTTCCAACATTTCTTGTTATGGCTTCTGATTAGTTTCACTCAAGCCATGTCTCAGAACTATGCTCGCAAATGAGAACTGGAGGGAAATGATGCGGTGTCCATATGGCAACATTATTTTTTTGAGGGGGCGGGGGAGAAGCGCAGAGGAACATACTGGGAATATTTTCGTGGCTGACAACAAATTGATTTCAATACACAGTTATTGTGAGGTACCAAAAATATGCTGAAGGCCTATTTGGAATATTCCCTATTCAGGAGCTGGTGGACTACAGGAACAATACTATTACCTAGTGCCTCCTGCCTCTAAAAATACAAGGGAGTGAACTACTATCCTTAAGTATCAAAAGTTGCCTAACTTTACAATAATTGCTCTAACAGTCTACAGACACTTCTATGGCTTCTATGACAAAAACTGGGCTAAATCCTAACCTGGTGTAAATCAGCATAGATCAATGGAACTATGCCAGTGTACACCAACTGATGATCTGGCCATGTGTCTTTTAGGTCCCGCCCCCCCAAAACAATCATGATTGGTCATTAATGCTAGTATTCTACTGAGCAAGACTCTCCCATGAATTTTTACCCACCAGGCCCTATGTACATCCAATGGAGTGGAGTATTGAATGGGGTTTGACTAGTTTTAAAACTGCTAAATAAGATGAAATGGTTTTTACTATTTTACTGTAAAACAATTGATTTTCCCCAACTCTATTTCTTCTTGGAAAAAAAAATATAATAAAATATCATGGGCCAGCATTTTTTCCTATTTGCCATGACAAGTAGCAAGCCTTACTTATTTGTATAAAAGTTTTGACTGGAGTTACTTTAAGTTCAAATGAATTTTCAGCATCTGTTTCCATGTCTTTTTTTCACTGAGACAGAGAAAGACTCTGTCTTTTCTGTGACATACTGCTTCATAACTGTGGCTGGAGATACACTAAACACAGGTTTTTGAATTTCCATTTACTCTTACAGTTAATTATGATAATACGGATTTAATTAAATGTCTGAGCAATAATGGATCTTGATTCTATGCCTATTCTGGGGTAAGCGCTTTGCTCTCTTCAATGATCCATTCTTCTCTGGTTGGCAGCACAGTGGTAGAAACCGACTAAATTTGGACAGTATGTAATTTGCCTTGTTTACGTCAGAAATAAAACTCTGGACATTGTTCCCTGTAGTGAGTTGTATGATTGCTAGTTGAACAGGGCAAATGCAGCTATTGACTACACAACAGTTAAATGTACTGAAAAAAGCACTGTCTTTTAAACAACTCTTCCAAAGAAGGAAACCTCTTGGATTTAAAATCTCCAAAAATAAATGCTTAAGGGGGACATAGGATTGTTATATGAAAACACAGCCCAATTCTGTTCTCAGTTACACTGGTATGAATCTGGAGTAACTACCGAGCTCAGTTCAGAATTCAGTGCCACGTAGTATGAAAACCCTTTACCCAGGCTGCTAATAGAGCGTTGGCTAATTAAAATGATTCCAGCTTTTAAATAAGCTAACTTTACTTTTTATCATTTGAACGGTTTGTTTACTTTATGCACTTCACTCAGGTTGAGCTGGAAAAAGGAGAACATTTTTCTTTCTAGTCAATTTCACTTCCCAGTTCTCATACACAAGCTGTTGTGTTTGGGTTAACAACATCGCTGAAGGGGTGGGGGGAGAGAGGAAAGTTTCATATCAAAACCAAAAGGGTGACACATTTTCATTGAATTTAATTAGATAAAACGCATGTCTATTCATAACAGGTTATAGAACACTGTCTTGTTCTCTCTCAACTTACAAAGACTTCATTGTCGACCTAGCTTAGGCTCAGGTTTTGAGAGAATGTGGTAGATATGGAGAAAATCCCACTTCTGTATCTAGGAGGCAAATGAAATGATTGCTATTTATGTTCATCTAGATGCAGTAAAAGGGTAGCTTTTCCTTCATTTCCCACTCTTGTGGGCTTTGTATTGGACACTTCAGTGGAAAAGCATTCCAGCAGTAAACCTCACATAAGTCCACCCCTCCTTTTGGGGAGTTATTCAGAGCCAAAAAGCCAGCAACAAGGACTGACTCCCTCTGGCAACTTCTCTTGAGCGCTCCCTTGATTAAAAAAAAAAAAAAAAAAAAAAAATTATGAATGGAAAAATTAAGTGCTTTAAAGCTGCAGGGATGCGTGATCTAAATTCACACTCCACCCAGTGAAAATGGAAAACACTTATGTGGTAAGATGGAGAAGAGTGAATTATTAACAAGATAAAAAGACCCTGTGAGCTTCCTCTTTGATCTTTCTGAAGTATTGGCTTACCACTGGTTTAGAGCTTGAATATTGCCTTCTCTCTTTTATTCACAAGTGTTAGACAACTGAACTATCCACCCCATGTAAATCTTCCATCAACCATTCATTCCCAGACACCTAAATGCAAGTACACAGAGATGCTGTTCATTGAATAATAAATAATAATAATTCCACCTAGTTCTCAGCGCTTTCCATCTATAGATCTCAAAGCACTTGGCAAAGGAGGGTAAGTGACTTTACCCCATTTTATGGATCTGGAAACTGAGGCACAGAGTGGGGAAGTGACTTGCCCATGGTCATTCAGCAGGTCAGTGGCAGAGCTAGGACTAGAACCCAGATCTCGTGAGTCCCAGTGCAGTGCTCTACCCGCTGGAGCATAATGCCTCCAAAGCAGCAAGGATTCGCATTAAGGGAGCTCTTCCCTCCAGTGCACTCACCTGTCTTTGACTCGGAGGATCAGTTGGTGGAACCTGTCCACGTGTTCAAAGCTGGCTTTGTCTGTGACTGAATAGACTATAAGGAACCCGTCCCCCGTCCGCATGTATTGCTCCCGCATAGCGCTGAACTCCTCTTGTCCCGCAGTGTCTAGGACTAGTATAGGGGAGGAGGGGAGAAGATTGTTAGTCATTCTGCTGGCACTGCCGTCACTACATTACATCTTTCTTCACGTTCCTACCTTCACTGAGATGACTGTCGAGATCTGACAGGTGCCATTCAAGGTTACTGGTTTGCTTCCTTGGTCAAATCAAGTAGAAGGTTTGGTTGGGGAATCACAAAACATTACTAACCACACGAGCTAGTCAAGTGAGAAGTGCTATCAGCCCCCCTTCTTCCCCCCCAGCATTGTGCCATTGCTATCCAACCTTCATTGTACTATCTCCTTCGCTACACCTACCATCCCTGCACAGGATTAGATGGCTTCCACCTTCCTCCAAAGCAACAAGCATCGGTTACTGCCAAAAGCAGGATGCTGAATTAGGTGCATCAGCTCTTTGACTGGTCATGGCTAATATCCTCAATTTCTGCCTTGCCAATCTCGCCGTTTCCCCACACTGGAGACTAGGAGGGGAGGTAGGCACCAGTTCAGATGACTCGGCTACTCCATTAACCAGCTGACCACGTGGAGCTGGGCCACATATTGGAACAATTGCTTTTTGTTTACAGTCCTTGTCCAAGACCAAAGAATTATTTTGCACAGTTTTTTGCTCCCGGCCAAAGGAGGAGAGCCTCAGGGCCACTCCTAAATAGATCACCCTAAAGCCACTAGCTGGCTAGGAAAGACAGTCATCCTATGGTTTTTCCTGCGGAATTCCTCAGCCCTTCTGATGTTTGCTTTGCCCGGTCTGTCTTGTGCATGACTTACAGACTACACTGTTCAGGCAGGGATGCTTTGTGTATCACTCTCTAGTGCAGCACACCATTCTGCAGACTAGCCTTGCTCGAGAAATATTTTCCTTGCTCTCCAAGAGCTCAAGCCTTCCATGAGACACGTAAACATTTCTACAACCTCCCCTCCGGCGCTCCCTCCTCAGTTATGGAATCAGCGAACATTACGGTCTCCAGTTACTACTCCCTTGGGGCAGCACGGAACACCAGACTCTGACATCATGGGGGTGGGCTCCTGCCTCACTTGGACCTTTGCCACCATCGACAGAGTTGCCGGGTCAGCAGCTTCTATTTAAAGGGCTTTTGGTCACGGTGTTCATAGAAAGGCGAGTGAGCATTCCAATTGTAAAACAGCATCTGGCACCAGGTTAAAGCATTTTGGGGCCCTGCACACCATGCAACTGGAGGCATCCTCCATCTTTACTCAATTTGGCCCAGACGACTCCCCTGTCATGACAGAGGGGCAGCCGGGCCAAAGCTGAGCAGTACAGTGACCCCGTGCACCAGATCGCAACACCACTCACTCAAATTTGGCCCAGCCACCCCTTGGGCCAAATTTGAGTGAGTGGTGTTGCGATCTAATGCACAGGGTCACCGTGCTGCTCAGGTGTGGCCTGGTGTAGTGCCACCTTCCCAAACCTGATGGTCAGGACCCCTGCTGAGAGTGTACATCGGTTAATCCAGGCCAGGCCACAACTAAACTATAAAACAGAAAGGGATGAAGGTTCAGTACATCTTAGGCTATGTCCTCACTACGGGTGTGTGTGTGTGTGTGTGTGTGTGTGTGTGTGTGTGTGTGTGTGTGTG